CAGGTCAGGTGACAAACAGTAATTGAGAGGCTTTAGAGTGAATGGGAGGACAGATTGTTAGCGACGGGTAATTCACTCACAAATGAGTCAATAAAAAGCTATTTCATTCTGGTTGTCATGGCACCCAGATGCCCCCTCAGGTAATGATTGAGCAGAGTGTTTGTGTGTGAGAGGTGCAAACAGGAAATCAAAACAACACCACAGGTATCCGTCCGTCCCTCAGTCATTCGGTCTCCATGGCTACTGCTGCCTCAGTGATGTGAGTCGGTTACACGCCTTTCCTCTCAGCACTGAGGGTCGCTGCTGACGGACAGGAGGGAGAGGTCAAAGGTCACAGGGAGAGTTGACACAGTCACACACTGTCAGCTGCTGAATTCTGAGAATAAAAGAAACATTTCATTTCATGATTATTGTATTAAATCCACATTTTTAATCAGATCTTTCAGGTCCCAGTTGGACTGCGTCTCACAGCCGATGGAGGTGATGTCGTGTCGTCTCTGATTGGACCTCATGTCCCCGCCGTCCTCCGTCTGTCTCATATCAGATGTTATTTCCCTCCACGGTTGGAGGGATGAGACGTGTAATCTTCAGGACTGAGTCTGTGCTTCCTCCTCATCCTCTCCTCTGACATTCAAACTCTCACATGCAGGTTTATCTCCCGACACAGTCGACTGTGGAGGATTTCAGGGTTGGACGTCTTTGCCCAAGCAACCGCCGCTGCCACAAGCTCTGGAATCAGATGAGAGGAACTGAAATGTCACGCTCCTGAGGAGATGTAACCGACGGAGCAGACGAATGAAACAGGCAAACATCAGCTGGGAAGGAACAAACAGAAATTCATCAGGTTTCACATCCTGAAAATACACACCACAACGACACATTTCACACCGACCGTGATGACCGTGAAACCGTGACGGTACATGTACATTAAACAAAAGCCACTCAGTGATTGTGATTTAACCCAAAGATCTTTATTAACATGTATGACACGAGGCGATCTGCTCTTCCTGTTTCCATCCAGCTCCACACTCTGCTCTTTTTACAAATGATTAGAAAACTGTACAGTAGAAAAACAAATGTAAAAAGTCTGAATGTGTCTTGAAGGTCTCAAGTCAGCAGAGAGACTGAACTCTAAAAAGGGCTTTGTTCTCTTCTTCTACGACAAACAACCTCGGAAACAAAGACTCACTGCAGAACGTCACCTATTTAAACACAGAAGAACAAAACGTTTCATGCAGCAACTTGAAAAAGAGCCTGAGAGTGTTGATGCAGACGGACGAGGAGAGAGAGGAAACACAGCAAGCAGTTTTAAAATGAACCAATCAGGTGGCAGCGTCTGAGCTCAGCCCGTTCTTCACATCTATGACTTTCACACTGGAAAACAACCATCACTGGAAACTGAATGATTCACGTTTAGTTTGGACAGTTGATCCTGATCATGTGACAGGAAGCAGGTTCCACTCCTCCTGTCGAGTCAAATCTGTTTGATATCAGAAATCTGGTTTTCTCTCATAATTACCTGGCAACAACATGGATGTTCCTTACTGCACTTTTTACAAATGTTATGAATGATCTAATATTTTCATTCAATTTCAGGTGTTTTTTCAGGTGTAAACACGACTGAAACGGTGCAAACCAGCGTCCTGACAGGTGACATTTACCTGTCTGTGATAATCCACCAGCATGTTCCTCTGACTGCAACTACAGTCAAAGTAATTCAACATTTGGTTTGTTTGTTATTTTTACTCAAAGACGATTTTTATGTAAATGAGGTTTATTGATCATAAAATCCCAGAACAAAATGTAAAAGTCACAGTGATGAGTTGCACTGTTGGTGTGACGCAGTTATTGGATCATAATTTTATACCCAATGTTTTATAAACAGTCAAACTGATTGATCAGCTTTGACCAAGGAGGACAAAAAGATATGAAGGTTAGCTGTGATCAGTTGTGTATCAGCTGTGATCAGCTGTGTATCAACTGTGTATCAACTGTGATCAGTTGTGATCAGTTGTGTATCAGCTGTGATCAGCTGTGATCAGTTGTGATCAGCTGTGATCAGTTGTGTATCAGCTGTGATCAGTTGTGATCAACTGTGATCAGTTGTGATCGGTTGTGTATCAGCTGTGATCAGTTGTGTATCAGCTGTGTATCCGCTGTGATCAGCTGTGTATCAACTGTGTAACAGCTGTGATCAGTTGTGATCAGTTGTGTATCAGTTGTGATCAGTTGTGTATCAGCTGTGATCAGTTGTGTATCAGCTGTGTATCATCTGTGATCAGTTGTGTATCAGCTGTGATCAGTTGTGATTAGCTGTGATCAGTTGTGATCAGTTGTGTATCAGCCGTGATCAGTTGTGTATCAGCTGTGATCAGTTGTATATCAGCTGTGATCAGTTGTGATCAGTTATGTATCAGCTGTGATCAGCTGTGATCAGTTGTGTATCAGCTGTGATCAGCTGTGATCAGTTGTGATCAGTTATGTAACAGCTGTGATCAGCTGTGATCAGTTGTGATCAGTTATGTAACAGCTGTGATCAGCTGTGATCAGTTGTGATCAGTTATGTAACAGCTGTGATCAGCTGTGATCAGTTGTGATCAGTTATGTAACAGCTGTGATCAGCTGTGATCAGTTGTGATCAGTTATGTAACAGCTGTGATCAGCTGTGATCAGTTGTGATCAGTTATGTAACAGCTGTGATCAGCTGTGATCAGTTGTGATCAGTTATGTAACAGCTGTGATCAGCTGTGATCAGTTGTGATCAGTTATGTAACAGCTGTGATCAGCTGTGATCAGTTGTGATCAGTTATGTAACAGCTGTGATCAGCTGTGATCAGTTGTGATCAGTTATGTAACAGCTGTGATCAGCTGTGATCAGTTGTGATCAGTTATGTAACAGCTGTGATCAGCTGTGATCAGTTGTGATCAGTTATGTAACAGCTGTGATCAGCTGTGATCAGTTGTGATCAGTTATGTAACAGCTGTGATCAGCTGTGATCAGTTGTGATCAGTTATGTAACAGCTGTGATCAGCTGTGATCAGTTGTGATCAGTTATGTAACAGCTGTGATCAGCTGTGATCAGTTGTGATCAGTTATGTAACAGCTGTGATCAGCTGTGATCAGTTGTGATCAGTTATGTAACAGCTGTGATCAGCTGTGATCAGTTGTGATCAGTTATGTAACAGCTGTGATCAGCTGTGATCAGTTGTGATCAGTTATGTAACAGCTGTGATCAGCTGTGATCAGTTGTGATCAGTTATGTAACAGCTGTGATCAGCTGTGATCAGTTGTGATCAGTTATGTAACAGCTGTGATCAGCTGTGATCAGTTGTGATCAGTTATGTAACAGCTGTGATCAGCTGTGATCAGTTGTGATCAGTTATGTAACAGCTGTGATCAGCTGTGATCAGTTGTGATCAGTTATGTAACAGCTGTGATCAGCTGTGATCAGTTGTGATCAGTTATGTAACAGCTGTGATCAGCTGTGATCAGTTGTGATCAGTTATGTAACAGCTGTGATCAGCTGTGATCAGTTGTGATCAGTTATGTAACAGCTGTGATCAGCTGTGATCAGTTGTGATCAGTTATGTAACAGCTGTGATCAGCTGTGATCAGTTGTGATCAGCTGTGGATCAGCTGTGATCAGGTGTGATCAGTTGTGATCAGCTGTGATCAGCTGTGTATCATGATGTTCTGTTTCACTGTGATACTGAAGGAAACAGGAGGATTCTTCTAGAAGCAGCAGCGTCTTGTTTCTATGATTTGATCGGTTATCGGCTCTGGACGCAGGAGGTGATGATCTCCTCTGGAAGCGTTTTAGATTCAGTCACACTGGATCTAAAACCATGTGTATGATGTGTGTGTTCAGATCTGACTCTGAGAAGAAGCTCTTCACTTCCTGGAGGTGAGAGTCTGACATGACAAGATGCAGACATCACAGTCAGAGAGAAATGTGAGTGATGGTGTGAAGGCAGATCAATCAGAACTAAAGCTCTTCTCTCCTTTTCTTTCTCCCACAAACACAGTTCACTTCACACTCACATCATCAGTTTGCATAATGACAACAGTAAAGGTTTAAATCAGCACCAATAAACACACAGACATGAAACATAGAAAAACACAATAAATAAGGGAAATTATAATTAAACCAGATCATAAATAGAAAGGCACTTCCAGAGTTTTCATCCATTTTGAGATGTTTATCTTCACTAGTCTGATCCAGGACCAGTAGTTTGCCCCTCAGAGACATGTTGTCCTCATGCAGTTTTACTTCTGTCTCTGCAGCTCAGTTTGTCTTTGTATGAAGAAATGAAGAAATGAAGAAATGAAGAAATGAAGAAATGAAGAAATGAAGAAATGAATGAATGGTGTTCAGTCCAGGACAGTAAATCACCCGTTCATCAGTGTCTCAGCGCCTCTTCATCCTCTTTCTAAACCATGATGAGATTCTTCAACATGACGCCCATTCTTTTCATATGGAGGCTGAGAAAGGTCGGACTCACAAATGGTTTTAATCCGTTACCTCCAAATAACAACGAGATATTAGAATATTTCAATCAAGGGCAGAAATGAAATGTTCATACAGGATCAGGATCATCAGTCCTTGTCAGCTAACGAGTTACTGCGACCAAGTGTATGAGGTTCAGACACAATCGTTTTCTCCTGATGAAATCTCGTTATCTCGAGATAACAAGATTAAAATATTTGTGAGTATGACCTTCCGTAGTGTCACTGAGCATGAGCCAAAGCGTTTTATTAAAGTGTCAGTCATGAACTCTGGATTCGTGTCTGTGGTGATTTTAATGTCACTTCTCTCAGTCAGCGTCTGCAGACTCTGTTTCTCTGGACTTTTATTGTGGAGGGAGAGAGATGATGATATCCTCAGAAAGTGATGTCACGCTGAATCAAATCAACATGTGGTTCATGTCTACATCAGTCTAATTAACCTCACAAAGTACCCCCCCCCCCCAAGAGTGAGGGGGGTTCCAGCTCTCTCCCCTCACACCTCCACCTCCTGCTGACCTCCCTGCACGGCGGCGGCTGTCGTCACGGCGATGTCGAAGCAGGTCTCCATCATGACGTGGGACTTGCAAAGGTTGACGCAGTACTCCAGATCCGCCGTGGCCTGAGCCAGAGCCTCCAGGTACTCCTGGGACTCCCGGTCCAGGCCCTGGTCCACGTCAACTGGAGGGAGGACACGGAGAGGAAGAGACGTGAGGACCAGGTCTACAGAAGAAACAAATCTGCGAGTAAAAGACTATAAAGTCCTTCTGAACCTCCTGATGGTTTTCTTCTTCTCTGTTCAAATCAATGACGTACACACCACGGTGATGAGACTCTGAGCCTCTGGTAACAAAGGTCCCAACAAACAAAACCAATACAAACCAATGAACTGATAACAAACCAATAACAAACCAATAATAAACCATCCTGATAATGTTAGCATGTTAGCCCTTAGCTCTCCAGCTGCAGTACCTCTGTAGCATGTAGCACATGCCAAGCTTTTACTCTGAAAATCCACTGAAACTACAGCTTCCTGAAGCAGGAAGCACAAGCTCCAGCTCTGCTTCCTTGAGGTCAAAGGTCACAAGTTTCATCTTATCATTATAACAACATATGGAGTCAGTACTCACACTCTCCGCTCCACCTGTCCGGGCGGAGCATCAGCCGGCTCTTGGCCTCCTCCAGCTCCACCTTCAGCCGCTCGTGTTTGCTCCTCAGCTCTCTGATCTGCTGCTGCCGCCTCTCCAGCATCCTGAGCCGGGCGTTGAAGTAGAGCAGACCCTGAGGACCAGACACCCAGTCAGAGGCTCTGTGACACGTCCACCTACTTATACAGGTGAGGGGGGGCGGGGATGGGGGGGGGGGGGCTAACCTGCTCTGAGACTTTAATCTGTATCCACTGCTGGATTTAATTAGGAGCCTGCCGGAGATAAAATTAGCGTGGGCGCTAATCTGCCGGCTGTAGATTTAAAGCGGAGGATTAAGGACAGCTGAGGGTGAGCAGGTGACAGAGAGCTGGCTCCGCCTCCCAGCTTTACCTCCTCCTTCACCTCCACACAGGTGCTGGAAGAAGAAACTCAGATCCAGACGTCAGACTTTAACGTCTCTATTCTTATCGTCATGATCATTTTTATCCATTAGAACATTTTATTGTTTCTTGTTTTGGATAAATCTTATTGAGATGTAGACTCTGTTACAGGGGGGCGGGGCTAAAAGACGCTCAGGAAGAGAACTGAAGAGGAAGAGCAGAACTGAGTATGGAGTCACAGCAGTGCCAAAAAAAAGAAGAAATCTATAAAAGAATAAAAACATTAATGTGGAAATAAAAGCAGAAATAGATAAAAGATTAAATAAGTTAAAAAAAAAGTGGATATATAAGAACAAATAAATAAAAGAATATGAAAAAAATACTTCTGCCCCATTGCTTGATTGATTGACAGCTTGGCCCTTCAAGGAAAAGCAAAAGGTAAAAGTTTTATTTTTTTTAATTCTTTATGTGTCTCTCTTTCTGTTTATTTTCGTATTCTTTCACAGATTCATTCTTTTTTATGGCACTGCTATGACTCCATACAGCAGCTCCTGATGGAGTCAGCTGATCTGAACTGAACACTGAGGGCTGATGGGTAATAATGTAGTTTTATATACAACTCACCTTTTCAACGTCATGGAACGGCTGCTGAGAGAGAACAGAGAGAAAGTGATGAAGACGAGTTGCACGTCGTCTTCCTCTACACACACACACACACACACACACACACACACACACACACACACATATATATATATACCTACAGTATGTATATGTATAGGACATTTTATACCTGTACAGGTGTACTTGCTCTGCTGCATGTTATTAAATTTACATTATAGAGTGACAGATATCCTTCCTGACTTCTTGTGTTTTGATTGACACTTCCTCATTATCCTGTTCTTCAGTGTGTGTGTGTGTGTGTGTGTGTGTGTGTGTGTGTGTGTTTTTCCAGTGTTAGCAGATGGGAGCCTGCCTCACCTCTGACCCCGTTACCACCTCCCTCCCCCTCTGCAGGCGCTCCACGTCGTCGATCTCGTACACCTTTATCTCAAAGGGCTCCTTCAGGGTGCCGCCCAGCGGGGGCACGTCCACCCACTGACCCCCCACCTTCCTGGAGAGGGAGGAGGGGTCCGGCAGAGGAGCTGGGATCAGACGCCGCCGCAGGAAACCTGATGAAGTAAAAATAAAATAAAATAAAATGAATATAAAGTTGAAGCAACGTTTTCTAAGGTTTGAGTGTCATTTAAACGTGTGAACCAGTTTCTCACTGAGTCTTCAATAGTACAAACGGTCACATGATCTCTCTGTGTGAACCTGTAGTTTCTCATTAACAAACTGGAGATGATCCAACCAACTAAATTATAACATGTCACCAAACAACAGCACGTTTGAAATACAATATATTGACGAGGCTGCTCATTAGCTCTAATTAGCCTCCTCCTCTCAGTCAGTTAAATCAGTGTCAGTCTGTCAGTGTTGATCAGAACCTCCGTCACACAGCTGCTGCTGCTGCTGCACCTTCATCTACACCTTACATCAACGAGCTAATGCATGTCCAGACAGGAGCCTTCACATGTTCGCTGATGATGCCTCATTTTTACTAAAGACACAAACGCCTCCTCAAGTCTTGCATCTGTAATGAGCCGTGTGCAGGACTGGCTCAATAAATCACGTCTCTTATCAAACACTAAAAACACGCTGTGTGTGATGTTTGAAAAACAACCAATAGAGGTGACACGTTTCAATGTGTTCCTGAAAGGGGAGGAACTACCGACGCTGTACGCAGGACAGAGACTCAGGGGAAGAATTGGAGCTGAGGTTGATGCTAACCTTTGTTCTGACTGTTTCTCTGATAACTCATGAACCAGACGTTCAGCAGGTTTTTACCAGCAGCTGAATGAGCCACAGAGGCGTCCTCCTCTCCACCACAAACACACCAGGGGATTAAACCAGGAGAAACACTGAATAAAGCAGTTAACTTTTAAAGGAGCTATATTTACTTTTTGCTATTGCTACATGGCTAAAATTAGCATTAGCAGCTGTTTACTTATCAGTCTAGAAGAAACGTGAGTTCAACATCAAACTGAATTCCTTTACTCACCAACAGCTGTCTCCAGAGGTGGAAACAAACCCTTTAGTTTTGCTTCTATTTCTATCCCTTCTTTTTTTCTACTGAAGTTAGCATGCTAACCAGCTAGCGCCCGTTGCTAGCTCACTGTAGCTTTCATTCTGCCCTGAAGACGTAGCTGCTCAGACGAAAACTAGAAAACTAGATGAAAGTCAATGTTGAGCTTCTGTCAGACGAACACACTGACACATGATCATAGAGGATATGATGTCATCAGCAGGCGACCACTGAGACGTCACCATGATTAAAATCACAGATTTCTCTGGTTTGAGTCTGATGGAAACATTTGTGATGATGTAAGAACACGACTCAACAACATATAGAACATAGAGAACATAGAACATATAGAACATAGAGAACATAGAACATATAGAACATAGAGAACATAGAACAGAGGTCTAGATGTTTTTAGACGTTTTAATGAGGAAAAGTTACACGTTATAACTTTAAGTCTATGTTCTATATGTTGTTTGATCGTGTTCTTACATCATCAACAAATGTTTTCCCATCAGCTCAAACCAGAGAAAATCTGTGATTTTAATCATGGTGACGTCTCAGTGGTCGCTGCTGATTGAACATTCATATCCTCTATGATCATGTGTCAGTGTGTTCGTCTGACAGAAGGCTCACATTGACTTTCAATCTAGTTTTCTAGTTTTTCGTCTGAGCAAGCTACGTCTTTTCAGGGCAGAATGAAAGCTACAGTGAGCTAGCACGGGCGCTAGCTGGTTAGCATGCTAAACTTCAGTCAGAAAAAAGAAGGGATAGAAAATAGATAGGCAAAACTAAAAGGGTTTGTTTCCACCTTGGAGACAGCTGTTGGTGAGTAAAGGAATTCAGTTTGATGTTTGACTCACGTTTCTTTCTAGAGACTGATAAGTAAACAGCTGCTAATGCTAATTTTAGCCATGCTAGCAATAGCAAAAAGTAAATATAGCTCCTTTAAAAGTTACTGGCTTTATTCAGTGTTTCTCCTGGTTTAATCCCCTGTGTGTTTGTGGTGGAGAGGAGGACGCGCTCTGTGGCTCATTTCAGCTGCTGGTAAAAACCTGCTAACGTCTGGTTCATGAGTTATCAGAGAAAACAGTTCAGACAAAGGTTAGCATGCAACCTCAGCTCCAAATTCTTCCCCTGAGTCTCTGTCCTGCGTACAGCGTCGGTATGTTCCTCCCTTTCAGGAAACACATTGAAAACGTGTCAGCCTCTATTGGTGGTGTTTTTCAAACTTCACACACAGCGTGTTTTTTTAGTGTTTGATATTAAGAGACGTGATTTTAATTTAGAGCCATCCTGCACACGGCTCATTACAGATGCAAGACTTGAGGAGGCGTTGTGTCCTTTAGTAAAAAATGAGCATCATCACGAACATGTGAAAGGCTCCTGTCTCGGACATGCATTAGCTGTTGGATGTAAGGTGGTAGATGAAGGTGGCAGCAGCAGCAGCCAGCTGTGTGAATCGGAGGTTCTGATCAAACACTGACAGACTGGACACTGATTTAACTGACTGAGAGGAGGAGGCTAATTAGAGCTAATGAGCAGCCTCGTCAAATATATTGTATTTCAACGTGCTTGTTGTTTGTGAACCATGTTATAATTTATTGTTGGTTGGTCATCTCACGTTGGTTAATGACGAAAACTAACAGGTTTCACACCAGAGAGATCATGTGACGGTTGTACTATGAAGACTCAGTGAGAAACTGGTTCAC